CTCGATCACCCGGCATTCCTCGCTCCCTTCGCCGGACACCGATTTCGGGAAACGAAACGTCTCTCTCGTGGATTCTGATCCTCGTGATACCGCTTTTCCGTGCGCTGGAGTCCGGGTTTCGTAACTGGAACGCACGACATGGGTCCAAACTGGCTCTAGACCAACCTCCGCAAATATGAGTGAGTAATATTCCTCCAAACTCTTGTTCTCCAGTGAAGATCCGAGAACTTTTCGCGTCTTCGATGATCAGATGGGTTGATCCTCTTCGCAACGCAGCACTGAACTCTGTGCTAAATAGGGTACTGACGTTGGTGTCTTTTCTGACGAGTTTTACTGTTTATTACGTTGAAGAGTAAGTCGTGGATTTACGTTTCTGGTGTGTTGTACCGGGTGATATTGTAGGAATGGACGGTTCCCAATGCCGCGTGTCTCATCGATGGCACACGGTTTTCGTGAGAAGATATCTTTTTGTGAGACGAGTGACCGGGGATAGTGGCACGGGTTACGAGAGCAGCGAAAGAGTAACGAAATGATGTTAACATATTCGAGATCGGTGACGTAGGACTACGTCGTTTTGAATTCTTTAGCTGAATACGGGGAACGTGGTCCTACGTCAGTTTTGTTTTCTGAAAGAATGCTGGTAACGTAGTTCTATATTACGTTTATTTTCTGAAAGAATGCGGGTAACCTAGTTTTGCATTATTTTTATTTTTTGAAAGAATACTGATAACGTAGTCTTGCATTATTTTTATTTTTTGAAAGGATGCTGGTAACATAGTCTTATGTCATTTTTATTTTTTGAAAGAATACCGATTATTTAATGCTTCATCATTTAAAAATATTCAGCTATAGACCTTGGGAAAGTGTAGGCAGTCTCGGATATTTTAATATGCATAAAAGTCACCGCAAAGTTACAGAATATAAATATTTTATCAGAGAGGTCGATATCCTTTGTACAAATATTTCCGTGGCGCTGAACGTGTTAATTTTTTTGGTGAGTTGGTGTTGCAAAAGAAGGATACGCTAGCGGAGGATGCAGAAATAAAAGAGACAAGTATGACATAACTGGCTTAAAGCATTATTTTATACAAAATTCAAGTAATCTTTGTTTAAAATAAGTAATACTATTTTTAAATAAAATAAGTAGAATGACCGTAAACAGGTTGACATTGTTTTTTCGATTGATGACAGATGCGCGCACTTAAGTTTCAGGAGAATTAGTAGGAGAATAGACGCAAGTAGGACTCATGCGATTTCGTTTCGTTTCGTATGATTTATCTGCAATAAACTGTGATCGTTGAGAGTATACTTCCAATAATAATATAATTAAGCAATATCATAAAGATGTAGATACAATGATATATTACAGTGGATAATATCGTCTAATCAGAAAGTAGATTGACAATATGTACGGTTGGAACTGTATTATTAGCGTTATACTTATCTGTTCTTCATATTGCTGTATAGTCAACAAAGGTCATTTTATTAGAAGAATTATTGTTCACGATATTAGTGTTAAAAACATTATCACGTAAAACTTCTTTATTATGTGATGATCCTTTGTAATTGTTTATGATACAATAACCAATTTTTTTAAAAATATTAACTTGATAGAAAGTATTGAGGTAGTATGTTATTGATGGACACACTGTATATTTTTTGTGTATTCTATAGAAATGTCACTTGTGTTGAAGTTGACGCAATTCGGTGTCGATGTAACATAGGAATGCATAAAAATCATTATATTTTATAATAAAATATAATATCCTACTACAATATTTATACTGGCAGCAACAACACAAACTATGTATTCAATTAAACTCTTCCCTTTACGATGTAATTTTATAAGTGACTATATTTTATGCAATTCGATCTAAACGCTACCGACTATGATAAAGGTAAATTAATAAATGGAGTCTAATTTTATTATAACGCGTTTATTACATATTATGTAGGAGAAAATTATTAATTTGAAACATAATACAATACGCCATGTATAATGGAGTATCTTATATTGGGGAAAATGAAAAGTTACAAAGAAAAGGAAATCCAATAGGCGATAAATGGACTATGGGTAATTACGTAAATTAAATCGAAACACAATTAAAGAAAAGTTTATATCATATATTAGAAAATTTATTAAATTATATATAGAAAGCAGAGACTTTCTTAATTCTTGATGAAGTTTCTAATTTATAAGATTTAAAAGCAATCAGAAAGAGATTTGAAGGATTACAAGTATCGTCCCGAATGGTTTGTCGACAAATTTTGAAGCTTTGGATAAATGGAGTCAAAAATGTTATTTCATTTGTACTTAATCTGTGTTAACATAATAACTTAATAATTCTTAGTAACTGTGTATCGAATTGGTATCGATTTAATAATCAGATTTATATTATTGGTAAAAAATTGGTTACTTCATCCTTTGTTTGATGATTCTCAATCAAATTCTACTACATGTCAAACTTTCTAATTCCATTCCGATTCTGTTTCTAATTCAGCTATACATTTTCATTAATAATTTCTGAAACTTTTACTCGTAATTGTCATTTGAAGAATATGATTATTTACAATTATTTTAGTGAATTATTCCAAGCTTTTATATATACATAGAAAATTCTGTACTCGACTACGGTTTCAGAATTCAATGCTAATATATTTATATGAAACATACATCGCTGATCCATAAATATTTGATTATATAATTCGTTAGAACTTGGTAAAAAGTTTAAAATTTCCTTTGCAATGTAGACTTTGCATCAAAATGAGAATGATTATTTCATTTGTCTGTACATCTACCTCGCTGAATAACAATGTCACTAACCATTCAAGGTAATCTAGTAATTGTTTTGATATATTAGGTTGTTCCATAAGTTCGTTTCGTGCTCTGTTCGCATGTTTAGTCTATCAGAAGCTTCAGAAATATGGCATTATGAGGCTTTCAGAAAAATGAAGGAAATGTATTGTGCATAACTGAATTATTATGAATAAAGCGAAACAAACTTTTGGGACAACCTAATATCTTCGTCTATCTTCTTTCAAGGGGTTTGTAAGTAAGTCCATAACCGTTCTTCTCATTTTGAATGTTTCATCTTCATGTCACAATTCATTTTGTGCCAAAATTGTAACTGTTTTCATAAAACTCGTAATTGTAGCAGTTATTACAAAAATGAATTACAAGTTCATAACAATCATGGTTTAATTATTATTCATAATAAATTTCTTTTTTAACAGTATTGCATATTCCATCAAAAAAATCATATAAGAATTAGAAGAAAGAGTTAGTATTTTATTCTAAAAGGTTGTTTGAAAGTGATTTATAGTAATTAGAATATATTAATGAACTTAAAATGATTAAAATACTTTTTTATTTGATTGGTGTAAAAGTATTGCAATTTATATTTCTCTGTCAACTTAACTGTTGACATAATGTATTGGGATAGCATTTTTGTTATTTTTCCAGCAACCACGTTTGCTTGTGAATACTCCTAATTTAGACTAATCAATTCAAAATATTCGTTTCTAAACGGTTATTGTTCAATTTACATGTTTATGTGCTGATTAGTACAGCTTTGAGTTGCTTCGTGTTTGTAAGCACGCGTTTTTAATTGGTAGACATCATTGTAAATTACCTTTTAATATTTGTTGTTTCACTGTTGTTATTTCAACAGAATATTCCCTATTTTATTTACGTTCTGATACAACGTCTGCACCTCTCACCTACGCTTTCTTCGTTTATTAATCCTTAGAGCAACATTTCGATGTCATTATTTTCCAACTATTTGCCATAATCCGTATCGAATAAATTGTCAAATTCGACTGGCTTTAATGTCTTCATTTCGCAATTATTGGCGTTATAAAAGTGTTATATATCTATAATTATTCTAGAAATTAATAATTTTATTTACATAATATAATGAATTCTGAAGCAGAAACTTGGAAAAGTATACTGTTATAATTTGTATAAACAGTATATATTAATGATATTAAATACTCAGTAGTTTAGTCTTAAAAACGAAATTTATATATATGTCAAAATCACGGCAAAAATAGAATATTAATTACCCAAGGATTCTAAAATCCAACAGATAACACATAAAAACCCTCAGATTGAGTTATATGAGTTACACTCAAGTGACAAGTACTTTTGTTCGATGAATTTTTGTTCAGCCTTAGTTACTTTCTTATTTATAGTAAATGATGTTAAATATTATCTGTATCATTAATTATTACCACAGTGTAGGCATATGCAATAAAAGCAGTCAAAATAATGTTTACCTGGTTTAGTTTTAAATATGTCCTTTTTAATTTAATAATATCGAAAGAATAACAAATTCGTAGACAGTAGTGTATATACGGATAAAGTTATTGGCACTCAATGTGTCACTGTATCGACAAGTGTAAATATCAATAATCACTGTAACTACCGAGTAATCCAAGTGACTTATTCAAAGTTTCTTATAAAATTAAAATTAAATTAAGAAAACTATTCAACTGTACAAATACATAAATTTGCTTTACAACTTCATAGAAAAGCATTTTTATAATTTCATTACTTAAACGTTAACTAATTAAATATAACTAGCAGTTATATAAAGACTATTACCAACGAAAATAGTGAAAACTAGACTACAGATCTCTATGGAAATTCAAATATTTAAAAGCACAGTTAAAGTAATGTAATCACGATGGAAAATAGTTTTCCAAAAACAAATATTATAAGAACTATACTCCGGATACTTCATAGACATTTTATTGTGTGCAATCGGTGCACTTTCGTATCAAATTCTCCGATGTATCAAAATCCCCAGCCTACTGATAACAAACACTAGAACACTAGAACTATCGAGCATTTAATACAACTGATATGCAATCCCTATAAAAATTATAACAATAGCTTATTTTCGGTTTCTCCAGGCATTCATTACAGTATTCAAATGAAACTATTTATTTCCAAAATCATTTCGAACATTCTATGCTTGTAAGATATCAATAATTGCGAAACAAAAACATCGAAACTAGTCATGTTGACTGGTACGGAAGTTTTAGTGTTAAACTTCAATTACACTCTTGTACTTATATGGAACCGATTTGATTGACGGTTTTAATCAATTTTATCTTTGTGCACATTTCGTGTTTTGTGAGAAAACTGAAAGGTTTATGGTAGTACCTTCGAGAA